CCCAAAGAGAAATTAAATTGTGTAGTATTGAGCAAAGCTGAATCTGCATGTCTACCCTGCAACAGACACACACTGCAGAACGTTCACTGTATTTTTAAATAGTAAAATATTAGAAATCAACATTTAAATGGAGGAATAAATTATGGCATATTTGTATAACCCAATATTCTATACCAAATAAAATAACTTAAAATCTGCATATATCACACACCAAGAAGAACCCTAAGAGGCCTTCCCAGCATGGTCCCTCTTCCCCCATTCCTCTGCTATAGCTCCTCTGAAGTAACTAGATAACATTATCTTATAAATATTCCTAGAGATTTTCAGATGCTAAAACTACCACCAAATGGATAAAATTAACTACTTGATGATCATGAGGGTGTAGCCCTTAGACTTTTTGGTACCTAAGAATTGATCATCAACCAGAGAACTGTGCACGAGCTGATCACATACCTTGTGGACCACCCCCCACCCACCTTGCCTTTGAAAATGCTCTGGTGAAACTGCTCCAGGAGTTTGGAGGGCACAAGCTACCCATTCTCCTTGCTTGGCCCTCCAATAACCTTCTCTCTGCTCCAAACTGATGTTTCAGTTTTTTTTGGCCTCACTGTGCGTTGGGCACACAAGCTTGCATTCAGTAACATTAATATGAGCGACTTTTAAAAATTCAACATTGTATGAAGTGGGAAGCTTTGAAAGTGTACGCACTGTTCATTACTGGTAATGATAAACAGATAACACAAAACCAAAAAACATATAAACACCATAAAACAAATATATTTTTATGATATGGTACTATGTTATGGAAAGAAAGACTTAACTCAAGTAATAACATAAAACAATAACATATTTCAGCATTGTTGGCACATTATTATTTTTCATATAATGTTTGCATCTATTTAGACTGGAGCATACTTAATATATATTCAATAATGTTTAAATAAAAGTTTATCTCCAATTTTTGTTTCAGTCTGTTTTTTAAAGGAAAAAAATTCTTTAAATTAATTCTCAGCTATATGTACTTGTGGATAAATTTGCAGCTGTGCATATTTAATGAGCATACATAGCCTTCCAAGATTGTAGAATTTTTCACTTTACAAATGCTAAAAAAGATAGATACCAAGTAAATCCTTTTTGGGCCTTGGGGCTGTGGGCATCCTGCCTTTGCACTGGCCCTTGTGGAGGACAATGTGGTATGGAGGAAAAGCATGAAATCAGAAGTCAAAAAGACCTCATTCGAACAGCAATCTCCACACTTATTATCTTGAGTGACGTAAGATGAATATTTTAAACTCTCTGAGCTTCCAGTTTACTCATCTGTTATTTAATGTGAAATTTAAAAGTTGTTGAAACAGTTAGGGATAATTTAACAAGCACACAGGAAGTATCAATACTAGCTATTACTGACCTTATGATACATATGTACATAAAACATATATATTATTATGGGATAACTACAATTATACCTATTTGTATCAAAGATGACCTCTGAAGTAAATAAAGAGATAGTCTTCCTAAGAAATTAATGAACATACATACGCATTTTCTGAATTAACAGACAATTTGGGTAAGGTAAAGTACTTCCCTGCTGGCTCAGATGGTAAAGCGTCTGCCTGCAATGCAGGAGACCCGGGTTCAATTGCTGGGTGGGGAAGACCCCCTGGTGAAGGAAATGTCAACCCAGTCCAGTACTCTTCCTTGGAAAATTCCATGGATGGAAGAGCCTGGTAGGCTACAGTCCATGGGGTCACAGAGTCGGACATGACTGAGTGAGTTCACTCTCTCTTTCTCTCAAAGTACTTAAAAGATTTATAACAACCATTTACAACCATTTTATTTTGTTCATACATTCTGTGAGTCAGAGATTCAAACAGAGCCCAGTGAGGACAACTTGTCTCTGTTACACAGTATCTGGAGATTCAGCTGGAAAGACTCAAAGCTACAGGTTCCAAAGCTATTTTGTTTTCTAATTCACTTGAGAGAAGAAAAAAAAAAAAGGTAAAAGAGTCAGCTGCTCTAGTGCACTTAAGACCTTAGTGTGCGTGCTAAGTTGCTTCGGTTGTGCTCAACTTTGCGTAGCCCTCCAGGCTCCTCTATCCATGGGATTCTCGAGGCAAGAATACTGGAGTGGGCTGCCATTTCCATCTCCAGCCGATCTTCCCAACCCAGGGACTGAACCACGTCTCATGTCTCCTGCTTTGGCAGGCAGGTTCTTTACCACTAGTGCCACCTGGGAAGCCCATTTGAGAATTAAGTTGTATAAATATCCAGGAAAACTAGTAGCTGGCAACTGAAGATCAATAAAATAATGAAAGGAAATCCCTAAAAGGATAATAAATCCAAATAAAAAAGAGTTGATTTTAAGAACTTGGCTCTTACATAAAGTGGTACATTTACTTGTGATTCTTTGAAAGAATATTTACTGTCTTAGAAATAATCTCACATATCATGATATACATTTACACACTAACATGCTATATACAGAAAAGCAGGGTATAGGAAACTAGATTGAGATCATGCTCCACTTTTTGGAAACAGCCTGTATATAACAATAACCAAAACACACATCTGGTTTGTCTAGACTTAATTTCTATTCTATGACTAATTAAAACTAATTTTCAAATAAATCTGCTTGAAGCTAGATGGCCACTTTTTTAGCTGTCAGTGGGTGGCTGACTCAGTCTGGTTCACAAACCTTAATTCCATACACAAAAGAAATGAAAAAACACCCTGAATTGTAAGCAATCAAAATGCTATCAGAAACTAACAACATGGTTTAATTAAAAAGGAAAATCCACAGAAATTCCCTTTTTCCTTTCCATTCTTCACACAATGGAATAAGAGGTAGCACAGAGAAGCAATTAAAATGAAATCACCTTTTGCCCTTGGGGTGTCTGAGTAGAACCTTTACCACCAAAATAATTAGCTTCTGATTTCTCATTTTTCTCCCCTTTGTCACACTGAAATTGCTTCCAGTCTTATAAACAATGCATTGTCCTGCCTCTTCAGTTAACCCTAGGCTTCTGAGAATCTCAATAACCTTATTATTTTATAAAAAAAGGTAAGACTGCATAGTTACAATGCCACTGTCCCCATTCGATTAGGACCTTGAATAGGACTGGAAATTAGCCTGATCTCCTGAATTACGATGAACTTTTGTATAATATCTGAGATAGTGTTGTTAGGGGAAACCACTGACCGAAACCACCCACCCTCGCCAGGGCACCACAGTCACTATTTGCCTGAGTAATCTTACAACAGGAGGTCCTGGTAAGGAACATGGAATTAACAAGCCACCACCAACTGAAAGGTCAAAAGGAGAGAGAAAACACCAGACCATGCGTCCTACCAACCTCCCAGAATCCTTCTTGCTGGAATTCATCTTGGCTGAACGATGCACAAGCCACCAGGAAGGACTCTGAGTCAGAATGACTGACCAGAGGCAACCCCAGAACTAGTCCCCTCACCATAAAACCTGAGACAGAGCCACGTGGCAGAGCAGTCCTCCTGGGCTCCCGTAGCCTGCTGCTCTCAGCCTGGGCGCCCCTTCCTAATAGTTTCTTGCTTTGTCAATATGTATGAGTCTTTGGACAAATCATTTCCAAGTGTTAGACAAGAGCCAACTCTCGGTGGCTAAAAGGAGTTCCCCTCCCTGCAACAGGGTGTCTGGCCTGGAGTCAAATCAGTTCAGTTCAGTTGCTCAGTCATGTCCAACTCTTTGCGACCCCATGGACTGCAGCACGCCAGACCTCCCTGTTCATCACCAACTCCCGCAGTTTACTCAAACTCATGTCCATTGAGTCGGTGATGCCATCCAACCATCTCATCCTCTGTCGTTCCCTTCTCCTCCTGCCTTCAATCTTTCTCAGCATCAGGGTCTTTTTGAATGTCAGTTCTTCATGTCAGGTGGCCAAAGTATTGGAGTTTCAGCTTCAGCATCAGTCCTTCCAAGTCTTCTCCAACACTACAGTTCAAAAGCATCAATTCTTTGGTTCTCAGCTTTCTTTATAGTCCAACCCTCACATGCATACATGAATACTGGAAAAACCATAACTTTGACTAGATGGACCTTTGCCGGCAAAGTAATGTCCCTGCTTTTTAATATGCTGTCTAGGTTGGTCATAACTTTTCTTCCAAGGAGCAAGCATCTTTTAATTTCATGGCTGCAGTCACCATCTGCAGTGATTTTGGAGCCCAAAATAATAAAGCCTGTCACTGTTTCCACTGTTTCCCCATCTACTTGCCATGAAGTGATGGGACCAGATGCCATGATCTTAGCATAAATAAATGGGTGCAAATGATTCTGTTTGTGACCACAAGGTGCCCCCTGAACCTGTCCTGCAAAGAGGGGTGACAGGGTGGGGGGGAGGACTCACAGGGCATGAGGATACCAACACTGTTGCAAAACCCAATTCCCATCCCTCGGATGAAAACACACCCACTCTTCTGACCTATAAACAAACGCTTCACCAATTACCCAGAGAGACTAAAACACAGCACACGCAGCACTGCAGGCGAGCCACCGAAGCCACCTGGTCATATCACACAGCATAGCCAGAGGCTCGGAACTGGAGATTCATGAAGCTGACCACTAGCAGTCCATCACAATGTTCACACAAATAAAACACTCTACATCATTTCTAGACTATTCACATTACACTCAGGCATGTCCTCACAATACAGCAAACACAGGGGCATCTAGTAAATCCTGGGATCACTTCCAGGGAAGTGAACACTGCTGAGGTTCAAAGTAGAGACAGGTCCATGTGCAAGGTCTCACTGAGGCTCAGGAGCACGAGAAATGGAAAGCGAGTCTCCATCGGAGCTTGACGTAGGTAAAAGGGTGCATGGTGAAGAAAATGTCAAACCACAGGGTGATACAATCAGGAGAGAGCTAGAGCACCACTGAGAAGAGAATCCTTCCCTTTGGCGAGTGCCCCCATGGAATCCCCTCCCAGCAAGCCCAGTGACACACAGGACAAGAGAGAGAATGTGCTTACTGTAGCACTCGGGAGTGGCTGAAATCTTTCAGATCCGAGTCTTCATAATGCGGGCTTATCATCCCGAGCCCGCTGTCACTGAGCATGCGTTTCCGGAGAGCAGGATTCCACCAGTCTGTCATTCTGGGAGAAAGAAAGATACCAGACACTAAAAGTCAGCCATGGGACTTAGTCTGCCCTTTCTCAGGATGAGTTTCGTCTTCAAACAAGAGGAAAGCAATTAATCTTTATGGGGTATTTATAAGCATTTCACGTTTACTTGGGATTCCCAGCTGGCATTTAGTGGTAAAGAATCTACCTGCAAGCAGGTGACACAGATTCAATCCCTGGGTTGGGAATATCCCCCGGAAAAGGAAATGGCAACCCACTCCAGTATTCTTGCCTGGAGAATCCCAAGGACAGAGAAGCCTTGCGGGCTACTGTCCATGGGGTCACAAAGAATCGGATATGACTGAAGCCACCTGGCACATTTTTTAGTTCGTTTAATTTTTTCAACTGCCAGGCTCTCTTTGGACACTACTGCCCTCTTTATAGATGAGAAAACTGAATTTTGAGATTAAGTAATTTTAAATATGACACAGATAAGAAGTAATGGCAGGGGACTTTCCTGGTGGTCTAGCGGTTAAAACTTCACTTTCCAATGCAGAGGGTGCAGGTTCAGTCCCTGGTTGGGGAGCTAAGATCCCACATGCCTTGCAGCCAAGGAAAACAAAACATTAAAAAAAACCAAAAAACAGAAGTCATATTGTAACAAATTCAATGAAGACTTTATAACAAATGGCCCATGTGAAAAAAAAGTAATGGTGACTGATGTCTTACAGAAACGTAGGTTAGAAAATAAAGCCCATTCTCTTTCATCTTATCCCTGTTTCTAGTTTATTTCCAGAGGGGGCAACAAAGAGAAATAAGAAAGGAACTGATTCAAGTTCTTGTGGATTTGCAGGCTACTTTATCTTTGGAACCAGAGCTGATGGCGAATGACTGGGAGGACAAAGCCCAGGGATAGCTTGGCCGAATAGGCTCAGATTTCATCAGACCGAACGCTACAAACCAGACCACGTCGAGGGGTGAACACCTAGACTCCAGCAGAACCACAACTGACAGGCGTGACATCACCCATGGCCTTCCCCACTGGCTTCCGGGACTCCCAGGTTACATCAGGCCATCCTTTGCACCAGTTGGCTGTCCCTTCACGACACAACAGCTCTGGTATTACTAGCTCTGGTTCCTAAACACAGCCATCTATCTGTTCCAGCTGCCACTTCTATCTTTTCCTGGCTCCCCAGAGACGTGGTATATACCCCTGCTATCAGCTGGCCTGGTAGAGTGGGAGATACCCAGAAATAGCAGCCACGGTCAGATTAAGTGAACAGGAGTGAACAGGCATGAGGGTTTTACCTCGAGTGCATACGCCTGTTAACACTGCACAAGGATGTGCACACAAGTGCACATGCCGTTTGAGTCCCTGTGTGTCCACTTCCTGGGGAAATCCTTATTTTGACTATTTACCTTTTGGGTACCAGTAAACCTCTAAAGTAAACCACTAAACTTCACAAGGGCAAAGGTTTGTGTGTTTTCACTTGTGCACTGTTGTTTCAGAGGTGCTTATACTAGTACCTGCCACACAGAAAACTCTAAAGAAATATTTTTGAATTTTTAAAATAATCTAGAAATATTAATATGTTGGTGGTTCAATATGGTGGTTAAAACATGCTTGGGCTCCAGCCTCAGAAAACCTAAGAATAAATCTCAATTTTTTCCCCTTTACTTTCTGCGCAGTAGTAGCCAAATTACAAAAACTCTCTAAACCTCATTTTGCTTACATGGATTTAAGATAGTATCAAATCTGCAGGGTCACTGTGAAATGATGATGATTCTGATAATATAATATTTAATGAATGTCTACCAAGTGCCACAGACAGCCTTAATTTTACATGTATTTGTAAATTTGTTTATTTTAAAAATAACTTATCTATTTGACTGTTTTGTGTCTTGGTTGCAGGGCACTGGCTTAGTTGCTCTGTGGCACATGGATCTTCGTTCCTTGACCAGGGATTGAACCTATACCCTCTGCATTACAAAGCAGATTCTTAACCACTGGGCCACCAGGGAAATCCCTCAATTCATTTAATTTTAAAAGAATTTTCTGAGTAGGTATTATCATTTCCATTTTACTGATGAGGAAATAAGCATAGAGCACATAATAGTAGGGATATAAAATAGGCATTTAGCATAGTATGTGGCTCTTAATAAGTTCTTGATATTTCATAGTTATTTTATATATATATAAAATATGTATATATATATGTATATGTACATATATATATATGTATCAGGCTGCCTGGATACAGGAAAAAAAGAAGAAGGGTTAGGAAGAGGAGGAGAGGAAGAAGAGGAAGGAGGAGGAGGGAAAAAAAAGTCAAACCACCTGTGTCATTTTTCAATGTGATAAGCTAGGCATTCCAGACGTACATGGGCTGTGTGCTATGGGAAGTCACTTGAGTCTTGTCTGACTCTTTGCAACCCCATGGACTATAGCCCACCAGGTTCCTCTGACCACAGGATTCCCCAGGCAAGAATACTGAAGTGGGTTGCCATGCCCTCCTCCAGGGGATCTTCCCAGCTCAGGGATGGAACTCAGATCTCTTAAATCTTCTGCATGGGCAGACGGGTTCTTTACCACTTGCGTCTCCAGACATACATGCACAGACACAAATACTAGTGCTTTCTAGTTTGGTAGGAAGTTTTGGTGTGGTGGGTAAAGACGGCTCAGACATGATACAGATCTGAGTGGGAAAGAGTGATTCTACTCAGGCATTCATAGATCGACTTACAATGCAACCTCAGAAAGCACAAGAAAACCTGGACATCAAAATAGTTTGATTTCATTAAATATATCAAACACAAGGCCAAACCAAACACAGATGTCATCCTGCAACCAGTCTCACCACAAGGAATAAGCCCACTTACCCTGAGGCTTGCTCCACCACCAGGTCAGGCATTCCTGGGGGTGTCCCCGCCTGCTGTGACAACACCATATCTGGGTCCAGAATAAAAATCTCATCTTGAGAAATCTCCATCACAAAGTGCAAATGTTCCTGAGGAAGGAAAAGAAATCTGTCAGATGACTGATAGGATGCTCAAATCCATCATTTAAAGAATAACTAAACAAAGCTATGTGGTCCTGAGGAATACTGAAATTTTATGACATAGCAAATGACCACAGCATATTATATTTTCAGAGGGCAGACCAGTAGCATTCCTCCCTGAAGGAACATGGTGGCAAGAGGCTGAGGAAGGGGAGAGTTGAATCCTTGGTTTGGGACTCTTTAACCAGGATCCTGTCAGGTATAACCAGATATGGTCTTGCCTCTTTTTACCAAATACTATCCAAGTACTGACACCCTACATGCAACCTGGTCCAGCATGTGCGTACATAGATCTGGACTTATACCCACAGGATCTGCTCAAAGCTAAGTGGCATGGCTAATAATTGGCTTTATCAATGGATTCCATTCTGTACCTTTTTTTACATGAGAATTTGGACAGTGGGACCACTTGCCATCATTGGGCATAAGCATTTTGTTTTCTCACCACCAAACTCTGGAAAGTGGTGAATAGAAACTAAGTAGCCTAGACATACATTTGAGGTTGCAAATTTGCCAATCAGAAATAAAGTTAAAAAGGCATAAAATTTGGCAAGGAAGCAGTAAAAGAGCAGTGTGAATGAAAACTTGGAGTGCAGGATGATGACATCTATAAGCCTACTTATCTACTGGACTCATTTTCAAGGTCAAACCATATCACCTTGAGTTCACAAATCACAAACACGTGAGGGCAAGTAACAAGCTCATGGCTGAGACTATGAGCATCATTCCAGAACTGTACACATTTCAGTGTTTTTGTTGGGGGAAAAATGTTTAAGATTAGTATAGTTACTTGGGAATTTTTCACTTTCACAAATAGGTTCAAGAAATCTTACCTGAGATCTGTCTATTCGATAAAAGCGATCAGCAGAAGTAGCTAGGGGGGAAAGAAAAGGATATGGCATTCAGAGAGTCCTGTGTTACGGCACCAAATTTACAAGCTTCTCTCATACCATGATACTCCAGTCTTGCTGGATGACTGGCCAGTCCCTAAATCTACTTAGAAAAATTCAGGATTTCGTGCCTCTGCGGCTGCTTTCTTAGAAAGCCCTTCCCCAGGACTTCCTGAAGGTCCAGTGTTTAACCTCAGCTTCCAATGCAGGGGATACGGGTTCAATCCCTGGTTGGGGAACTAGGATCCCACATGACCTGTGGCTCAACCGAAAAAAAAAAAAAAGGCCCTCCCCATTACACATGACTATCTAAATCATTTAACTCATAAGCTTGGATTAAAATTATACACACTACTATATGTAAAATATAGACAATCAACAACAACCTACTGTACAGCACAGGGAACTATACTTAATATCTTGCAATAACCTATGATGGAAAAGAATCTGAAAAAGAATATACATATATCTGAGATATATACACATATATGTATGTATATGTATATATGTATGTGTGTATATATATATATCTGAATCACCTGAAACTAATGCAAGATTGTGAATCAAATATATTTCAATAAAAATTTAAAGAAGAATCATGTCTTAAGAACCAACCTGAATGCAACCTCTTCTGTGAACCCTTCCTCAGGCCCTTCCTCCCTGCCCCAGATAGAATCAGTTGCGCCCACATTCATGTACATTTGTAATATGTTTACACTTCTTATAAAACTCTCTTCACAGAGAACTCTCAGACCAAGAACATATCTGCCTCTTTAAAGATCTGTTTCATTTCTTCCTTTATGCCTCAAGATATGGGCACAGAACCCTCAACAGAGCTGAAACTCGATATGTACTTATCAAGTGAATAAAGCTAGGAAAAAAAAAAAAAAACTTCTGGTTGCCTGATTTCTGAGGAAATGATTCTCATTTTAGGAAAAAAAAAAAAAAGCTTGAATTTGCAGAGTTAGGGACCACATCTTGTATTAAAGGCATCATTTCAATTTAAAAATGAGTCCCTAAGCCATGTCCAAAGAAATCTAAAACAGAAAAAAAAAAAAATTTAAGCATTCCTATAAAGGATTGGGCTGTGTGTGTAGTTTGAAGGGAAAAAACACTTAATGATAAACTCTGGGCTTCTAGAAATTAATCTGATTATTCCTAATATTCAAAAGAATTATGTTCCTCCTCATTTAAATCTATCTAACAGAGTCCACATATTATAAATAGATTTTCTACAAAGTACATAGTACTAGAGGGAAAAACTCAAAATGCAAATAATAGTTCAAAAATCATACATATTTAACAAGTAGCTTCTCTCCAAAGGAAATAAGCTAAGAAGCAAGACAATCATGGTTCTTACCCTCTAAAAGCCAGAGGGGGGAAGACCTGCCTGAGAAGGACTTAACCTACTTTGTTCTTTTAAGTACGACTGCAATCTTTAAACATTTTAAACACAGCTATTTCTAGAGTAAGTCTAATATTTAGGTTAACACCATTAGCCACACTTAGAATTTCATCCAAGACTATATATAAAATAGACTACATATAGAACAGTTTACATACATTCTCATAATTTTCTTAAATATAAGTTGTTCCTCAGTGGATTTAGGAAAAACAAATGACTATGTTTCTCATCACGAGGGGATAAAGGACCTGGAGGGAAAGCAGTGTCAAATATCTTCAGAGGCAGCTGACAAGCCATTAATGAAAACCGATGTCATAATATGTGTGGATGAGATTTGATACAGATACGGGTGCTCATCTTCATAAAATGTTCACACCCTCACACAGCCCATCATTCTCTTGTCCACATTTATAACCTTTCAGATGTACACAGAGCTAAACAAAAGAGAGGCATACAGTGAAAGCCCAATGTCCACAGAGTTGAGAGATACTGTACAGTAGGCCCACTGGGAGTATCTAAGCAGAAATGTACTGTAAAATGGGTAACTGGATAGAAAAGTGGGATTAGACAGTCTTTAGGGGGATGGATGGAAAATGGACTCATTAATCACATTAACCAATCAGAAAATGACCGACCTACTATGTATTCAACATGTCATGCTCAGCAGAGCAGATGTGAATGCAACCAAAAATGCCCACCTTTTCACAAAAATTTGTAACTCATTCTGAGATGATGGCTTACTGAAAATAATATGGAAGTTCCATAATATGCAAACAAGATGCAAATGAGTACCTATTCCCCCTGCTGATGAAATCCAGCTACCAGCCTGAATTGAAGACAGGCACTCAACACATTTTTGGAAAAGGGGGCACAGAAAGGGATAGATTAGCTTGAGCAATTTGATGCTGAGAAGTTGGGCCAGAGTTAACCGACTTGATTTGAGGGAGATAAATTCAGCAAAGTGTGCTGCAATATCAGAAAGTCCACATTGTTTGAGATCCAAATACCAATCACATAGAGGGTTCCTGAAAAATCTTTCGGAAAATCAGAGTCCACTCAAGCCACCAATGCTTTGCCCTGAGGCTTCCCGAACCCCCACCCATCCGAAAATACAGAAACACTCACCATCTAGAAAGCACCACCGTGGGGAGAGTCTCTGAGCTGAGAGCGCCCTAGGGAAGGAGGTTTCTTGGTCCTGGAAAGACATACACACATCCTCATGGCTCCATCTGAATGAGCTGAGAGCTGTTCCTCACTCCACATTCTGCCCCATCACCTATTTCTAAGAGTGAGCATCCTTTCCTACTCAAAGCATTGGTGAGAGATTGAAGCATACTTTTCACTGGAAACACCCACAGGGGCTCTGCTTAGAAATGATTTATTTCACGTAACAACTCTCGCATACAATTTCCAGGAGGTTTCCATTTTTCCATTAAGCATTCATAAATTCTATAACTTGGGACATGTACTTCCTTTGGGAACTCTCTTTCTTTTCCTTTATGAAGCTGAGGACCTAGTGGCAGCTGGCTGTCATTTGCATTTCAGTTCTCCATACAGGTATAAAAATGTCCCCTACTAAGAGAATCCCTGCCCCTCATAATTCTTTAAAACATAAAATTCTAGTTTATAAGGGGATTTGGGGCATTCTGGACTGGACTCAGTGAAATTGAGGTAACTGACAGAAACGGGACAGATTAGGAGGGAGGGCAGGTCTCTGTGGTGAAGACACTGGGACTTTGACCCTTATTAGAACTCTGAGATGTTCCAACAGAAGGCGCATCCCTGGAGTGAGGCTGGCTGTGCATGACCTCGTGTGTACAGAGGGGGACAGAAGGATATGGGAGAAACAAAAAAGAGGTTAAGAAGAGAGCGAATCAGAGTTTATGTGCTGACTTCTTTGGAGGTTGAACCTGTCCCACATGGTCCTGGGGCAAAGCTTCTGCTTAAATCAGTGAATCTTAAAGCAATGCTGGACCAGCAGCATCAGCTAGGAGGTTGCTAGAAACACAAATTTCCAGGTGCCACCCCAGATCTACAGACACCCTGGGGTGACACCCAACAATCGCTGAGGTTGAATCTGATGTATGCCAAAGTTTTAGAACCACTGGCCTAAAGTAACAGGGACTAAAATTGCCCATTATTAGGAATCTTGGGTAGATGGAGTATTTATACCAGTGGATTCTGCAAATTAAATAATGAATAGAGGAAAACCTGGTCTCACTCAGGACTGGCAGCAAAATTTACATGTAGAGATGTAGAAGTGATATAGCATGGATAATAGAGATAAATACACAGTCTTCTTTTTTTTTCATTTATTTTTATTAGTTGGAGGCTAATTACTTTAGAATACTGTAGTGGGTTTTGTCATACATTGACATGAATCAGCCATGGATTTACATGTACTCCCCATCCTGATCCCCCCTCCCACCTCCCTCTCCACCCGATTCCCCTGGGTCTTCTCAGTGCACCAAGCCCAAGCACTTGTCTCATGCATCCAACCTGGGCTGGTGATCTGTTTCACCATAGATAATATACATGTTTCGATGTTATTCTCTCGAAACATCCCACCCTCACCTTCTCCCACAGAGTCCACAAGTCTGTTCTGTACATCTGTGTCTCTTCTGTTTTGCATATAGGGTTATCATTACCATCTTTCTAAATTCCATATATATGTGTTAGTATACTGTAATGGTCTTTATCTTTCTGGCTTACTTCACTCTGTATAATGGGCTCCAGTTTCATCCATCTCATTAGAACTGATTCATTTAAATTCTTTTTAATGGCTGAGTAATATTCCATGGTGTATATGTACCACAGCTTCCTTATCCATTCGTCTGCTGATGGGCATCTAGGTTGCTTCCATGTCCTGGCTATTATAAACAGTGCTGCGACGAACATTGGGGTGCATGTGTCTCTTTCAGATCTGGTTTCCTGGGTGTGTATGCCCAGAAGTGGGATTGCTGGGTCATATGGCAGTTCTCTTTCCAGTTTTTTTAAGAAATCTCCACACTGTTTTCCATAGCGGCTGTACTAGTTTGCATTCCCACCAACAGTGTAAGAGGGTTCCCTTTTCTCCACACCCTCTCCAGCATTTATTGCTTGTAGACTTTTGGATAGCAGCCATCCTGACTGGCGTGTAATGGTACCTCATTGTGGTTTTGATTTGCATTTCTCTGATAATGAGCGACGTTGAGCATCTTTTCATGTGTTTTTTAGCCATCTGTATGTCTTCCTTGGAAAAATGTCTGTTTAGTTCTTTGGCCCATTTTTTGATTGGGTCATTTATTTTTCTGGAGTTGAGCTGGAGGAGTTGCTTGTATATTTTTGAGATTAATCCTTTGTCATACAGTCTTCATTTTTGAACTGGCTTTGGGCTACATGAAATCTTGACATGTACCTATTTATATGAGAATTGTGTTTAATGTTTTGGGAATTATACTTTGACACATGTGATATCTTAATTTAAAGAAATTTATGATTCTTAATGCATTTTTATAAAACAACTAAAGCTACCAATGATCATACTAAGTAAGTCAGAGGAAGACAAATATAATACAATGTCACTTATGTGTGTAATTAAAAAAAATGATATAAATGAACTTATATACAAAACAAAAATAGACTCACAGACTTAGAGAACAAACTTACAGTTACCAGGGGCAAAGGATAGGGGAAGGATAGACTGGTAATTTGAGACTGACATGTACACATTGCTATATTTAAAATATACCTTTCCATGAAAAAAAAAGAGAGAAATACCTTAAGGATCTTAATATCAAAGACAAATGTACATTGGGATGGATTAAAAGTGGACCAGAAGTAAAGAGGAACAGATTGTCAAAAAGGAAATCATAATAACCCAAAGTCAAGATCTGTCAATTTCTTCACATTCTTGATGGGCCCAAACAAATGAGGACCACAGAGGTGCCAGCAGCAGGTCTTCTGTACACACATAACTTTTTCAGTTTGTCTATCACACCCTCAATTCTCCTAACCGAAAAAGAGGACCAGAAGTGGAGTGATGTTAGTATGAAGATAATAAAAAACTTGCTGTGACTTTGTCTTAACCAACTCTCATTGCTAACACATTGTGGGTATTCCATCAGGTAGCCTGTGCCCTCACAGAGGACCTGGCACACAGGTAGAGTGGGTGACCCTGGCATTAAGAATCCTGGATTCAGGGTCAGCAATGCAGTGCAGGCCAGGAGTCAGACTTGAGCAGCAAAAGGGGGAAATAAGGAAACAAAATCGCCCCCACCAGGAGGTCAAGGACTGGCCCCCAGGATTTCATGGGGCCAGGGAGCCATGGCAAAAGGATCCACCATGACAGACATGTCAGCATCCTTGCCAGTACACAGTAAGAGCCGAAAGAATGGCCAGACACGTTTGCTTTGTGAATGCCACACATTAAAGTCAGTATAAACAGACAATTTCTGACGGAGCCACAAAAGCTCAAAAGCAAGCCCCTTTCAACACTGGCTGCAGACACTTCAGAAATGTGATTGTCTGAACGCAGCTACTTTTCCAACGACAGTCACATAATCCCCTGAGCGGTGCCACTAACCACCATGTCAACAGCCTTCAGGACTAGTTTAGGGCTTCTTGTCTTCTCTGTCCTCTCAAACAGCATAATCAAATCAATGATTCATCAAAGAGATAAGATACTCGACTTGCTTATTTTGTGATCTGTTATTTTTCTTCACAGAAATGGCAGGACTTAGATGAATGCAACCGTCATTGCTCTATAGTGTAGGCAGACTGATATAACCCTGGATGTAATTATGCTTTCTACCTCTTAAAAACTGCATGCTCTTTAAATAAGCAATATTAACAAATACTGCTAATTCCCAAAACTCCTGATACGTGAATTTTCTCTTTTGATATATTCTAATGGAAAATCTGTTCTCATGCTAAAAACAGAGCATGCACAAAAGCAAACCTGACATTCCTCAGATACATATTTTTGAAAGTCAACTGGCATGAATTATATGTAATTGATAAGGAAATTACCTTAACCACTATCGGGCAAACACACACCAAACTTGCCCTTAATTTACATTCAATTACTCACAGCTGATTCACACATAATTTCATGATTGTGCAGCAGCCCCATTAAATACTCCACTAGGTTACCCAATTAAGCAATATTCACCTAGCATTTAAGTACACCTTTACTGTGAATGAAATTCTTTTTCTTTCACAAAATTTAGGGACGATATAAGCAGAGGCAAAATAGAAGTCCCTTTGAATTAGGGATTTCTGCTTCATCTAATAATGTCTAGTCAATAATCGCAACTTTTAAATTTCTCTTATGTATCCATCCAAATTTCTTCTTTGCTGGCCCTGACATTTCCTGCATCTAACCCATCTACACATTCATTTTTCCCTCTCTTTCCATCACCAGGCTATATACCAATATCTTTTACTTATCAAATCTATTCCTTTACTACCCACCATTCTTGCAAATGGGATACCCATTTGCAAATCCAGCTTTGAAAGAGGACAAAATAGTGATGGTGTGGTAGAAGATGGAAATGAGAGATATTTCAAAGTTTTCAAGAGCCCTTTTCTGGCAAGAATGTCTTCCATTAACAACAACAATTCTGTGTGTATGTATATGTGTGTGCGTGTGAGACAAGAGCGAGCTGTCTTGCTTTTACTTGTAATAGCAAACAGAACCTGGCCACAGGCAAGTCTTACTTTAATTCCCCGTTTGAGCCATTTCTGACAGCTTTGATCTAGCACCCAAAAAACAACATTCTCCAAATTCTCTACCTGACACCTGTCCTTGTCTAAGACAAGACAAATTAATTCCCAGGAGGACTCCCTTGAACTGGCTTCAACTCCTCCATTCAGACGCTTCTAGACTCCAGACTACAAATTAAGGAGGGAGACATTTCAGAGAGAGGAGGGAGATGAGTAAGGGCAGCCAGTAGGAGAAGAGGAATGAGTCAAATATTTGCAGACACATGCTGTTTCCCCAGAACTAGACAAAGCTCTGATGGACTACAGCACAAACCTACCCTCCAGGAGTAGATCAGACATGTAGAAAAAAAGGGATCAGAGGATCAACAAATGGTTGTAGAGTCAGATTTGACCAAGAGTGTTTTCTTATGAAAGTGAAAGACATCTATAAGGGCTCTAAAGAATGAAAGAACTTTTTGAAATTACTATATCTATAATGAAATATTCTAA